GAATGTAAGTTATACTTGGAGCCAGGAGAAACTCGGGCAACACAACCAATCTAAGGGAATGCTCGGATGTTTTTTGCGTCCTCTCCGTTTTTGACTGGAACCCTGAACCAACCCCTGCACGCATAATCACCCAAGCTTGAAATCCTGCTGTTCAAACCCTGATCAAGCTAAACTCTTTACAGGATCGTGCCAAGGGCCCCACGGATGGGGGCGAACCGACGTCGACCTGAAAAAGACGAGGAGGTGCTTCTCCAACCCACAATCCCCACATAATGCTGAAAAGCCTCAAATGGCACACAACAAGACAAGAAGTAGAATTCTTACAAGTCCCTAGGAGCCTCTGCCAAAAACAAAGGATGCACTGTTCATAATAAATCTTAAGGCCAAAATGACATTGTTCTGAGCTCCAGCCCCCAACCAAACCTGGACTCCTCGACTCCTCTCAACTCCCCTCGATTTCCTGTCATCTCCAGATTTCTATGTCATCCTCATGCACTCCTTATCACGATACCTACATGCGTCGCTTCATCGACACAAAAAGAGCTCTCAGAGCTTTCACAGCTCAGGGGCACAAATTGGTCAGACCCTTGTTTCGGAGGGACCTGGCCCCCATGTTAATGAGGTACGTGGCAGCAACCAGCAAACCTGAACCAGCTACCCCACTCATAGAAGGGCTTGGACAGCCACAACAGCGAGAGCAGCTGCGTCCCAGGCCCACAGGCGTTGGTGGCCCCTGCTCAGGTGCCAAGTTTTGAGGGCTTCCGACGCAAATTCAGTTGATTTTTTACCCTGGATTCGTTAAGCATGACCATCAAACTGGACCAACGTCAAAGCTTTTTCCACTATTCCTGCCCTGTTAACGGCAAGGCGGAAACGATCCAAAAAAGCAGGCTTGAAAAGTCTTATCATCCAACTTTCCAAGGCATCATACTGCTGCCAGCATGTTGCTTGGAGATGCTTGGCATCTGGGGTTTCAGGGCCGGCTTTGATGCTTTGGACATCTGTTGCATCTTGTTAATTGATGAATCCGCGGCGCAGAGGCTTCAGGCTTGAGTTAGAATTTCCCCTAATCAGAAAACAAATCGGGAGCCACCGCACCTTCAAAAAGGTGGAACGCCATTATCCAGGAGCTATGCACATCCCCAAAGATATTTCTTGGAGAAGGAGAGCATACTCCGCACGGTGGCTTTGTTTTCGGATTGTCTTCCGTAAGCAAAGTCAGAATGAGATGTTAACAAAAGTGCTCAGGAGCGGCTATGTTTTGCGCAGGAACGACTTCACAGACCATAAGAACTCCCAAAAGCAGCGCTCAACAGGAAGATTTCTGGCAGGAGCCTCAAGACCCTGTCACCAGCTAAGATCAGGATAAGTTTGAGGTGACTGACATTTCTATACAGCTACAGGCGCCATCTATCACCCACAGTTGGGGGGGTCCTGTTTTTATTTAGGTCACTAGAATGCTTATCATCGGGGCAGAAGCCAGGACACTCTTCTGAAATGCTCAAGTGAGAATTTCCTCACGTAGTGGTGTAGAAGGAACACATATATCTTTATGAAGAATCTTTATGAATGAGAAATGCAAAAGGCCTCCACAACCTCGGTCCCATAGGCCACTCCCAGCATCTGCAGACGGTGCTGAAGTTTTTTTCGGAACGGGAAAAGTTGAGGAAATCCGAGGTGGGCCCCGGATTGATGCAGTGCTTGTAGTCTTTCGAAGCCCTCCGCAGCAAAGCCTAAATTCGGAGGTGCCCAAGTTCTGCGATGTTGGAATAACTGCAGTGTCGTGTTGGCTTCTGGGCTGGTACCAGACACATCGTCCTAGCTCTACAACTTTGGCGGCCCCCGAACTGCGAGATGCGAAAATTTTACACCAAACGCTGCACGCACCGTGAACCTGAACACTACCCCTAACGCTTGTTGTCTATTAGTTTTATAAAGCCTACACCACGTTGAAGGGCTAGGCAGCAATTGAATTTTGGACAGTCGTTCAATGTCGGTTCCTGCCCTTCCTGCCCTGTGAGCACCCCAATGATCTAGATTTATTATAATGTACTAACCTGCAGAAGGGGACTCAGCTTGTTGAGCAACTTCAATGTTTGAGGACGGGACTTGGAAAGGCTTCGCATGGGACGAATCGCTTAGGGTGTAGTGAAGACATTGAGTCATAAGGTTGTACCTAGATTGTCCTTTCACTTGAGTGATCATGAAAGTCTAAGTCAAGCTGTATCAAGTGTAAAATGAAGGTACAGCTGTTTGACGGGCAGCCCGCACCATACGAACAGAGCCGGAAAAACGGAACTTCGTTTTTCAGGTTTCAGGCCCTCGGCGGCCGAACAGGTGTGCATGGACAAGGGCCGTCCACTGTGTAGGCTTTTTAGCTGCCGGTCGAACCCAGGAGAAGCCTTTGGACATACATCCCCGACCATTCAAACCGCAACTAGGTTATGATTGGCCACGTATCTAACAGCCTTCTCCTAAACACAACTGTTATAAGCCCAAGACTCATAAGTCGTAGCCGACAAGTTTGCAAATCCAGTTGGGCTAGGTCAGATATGTACATTACGTCAACCAATCAAGCCAAATACATCCCTAAAATGCAAAGACTTCTTTCGAACACTCAGCAATCTTCGTGAAATAGACAGAAGTATAAGACCAGGAAGATCCACAATGCATCATTCGGGACTTGATGCTTCGTTGTGAGTGATTCCTGCATGTTATAAACACTTGGGAGTTCGTCAAACCAACCTTTGTCTCATCTTGACTACCAAATCCTAAACCTGCGGATTCCGTCGCTTGTTTTTGCCTTCCTCTGCATGGCAACGCGTCTCGTGGTCTACCCATGGCAAGCAGTACCAAACGCACAAGTATTCAGAGGTGAGTGCAATAACAATGCCAGACCCAACGGACTAGCAATGTTCGGACAAGGCCTCACAAAGCGATCTGAATGATCAACTGCGTAACGCAACGTTTGTAGTGCAACTGGCCGCCTGTGCACTGCGAGTCTGCTGTCAAATTTATGCACACACGGTGTTCGCCCTAAGCGGGGGAAGAGCACAACCACATATGCTACTGAAGCAGCGTTATCATCAGCACCATGGGACGGCGGAGAGCGAAGTTCCAACAGCAACTGAACCAGCTGCCAGTGGCGACAACTAATCGCCTGCATCAAAGCTGTTCCGCCAGGCCAGGAAGCCGAAACATTATATCCATGTCGGCGGCTCCCACGAACAACTGCAAAGTGGCCAGCAGTAGCTGCAAGAAGTGCTCTGCACTTTCTGTTGTAAGTATGAAAGCTGTTTTGCTTTGGGGATAATGAAGCACAACCCATGTGTTGCCGAAGCACAAACATCCACATTGTTGTATGTGAATAGACAGGAGCTCACCGGCCCCGAAAGCCTGCACCAGCCACCAGCTGCACCTTGCCAACGTCCAGTTGAAAACCTTGACCCTGTACGCGAAGTCGAAACCCGATCTTCAGAATCATGCATACCCACGAAACCCACCTCTGGCAAGTCCCCTTCGTCTCTTGCCATGATGGAGTCCAAGTCCTTGCCGGCACCAGTGTCCAAAACCAAGTCCTTGCTGGCACCAGCGTCCAACACTATCTGCGAGATCCACGCGTGGCCACGGACAACAGCTTCCATGAGGGTGCTGCTACCTCGCCATCATGGCAATTCCGCAACTGTACCAGCTTGTACAGAGAACGCATCAGCACCACGTTGCCAGAACTGCATGTCATTCAGTTTGTCTGTACCGCAGCGCATCGGACTGGTATTGCAACGCCCATGGCACCAGAGCTTCCACGATGTCTGCCTTAAATGGCCGCTGTAGGATCTGAAGGTGGTGCTCAGTGGAAGCCTGCCGCTCACGAAGTCACCCCGCTCGTTCATGTAATCCAGAAGATGCGACAAGCAAGTGAAACTTCTTCGGGGGATGGGTGGGGTCATTCCCCCTTACAGTAATTAACTGCGTTCATGTAAACGGACAGCTTCGACCTGCTTGAGCCCCATGAAACCCACGCGCGCCTGACACCACAGTAGCAAGCCCTACGGTTTTAAAGCCAGTCAGATTGCCTTGTTTCCGAAGCCATACAAGTGGCCGTGGTTTTTGAGGTCCTTCACCTTCGTCCCACAGTCCCACTTACATATATCCATTTTCTGCTGCCTCAATGAGGTCTGTTCCTTCGCCCGCTATCTCCTCGTGGTCGGCCCCGAGCAGTAATGATCAGAGCAGGGTTCTCTTCAGCATCTTGCCGTTCTTGTCAGCACTAGCCGGCGATTCTGCTGCACTTCTTTTGACAGAGACAGCAACAGAAGGTGTATGTCAACGTGTGAGTTCAGCCTGGCGAAATATTCCAATCGATCACCAGTATGCAGAAACACTCGGCCAGAGAGCAACTCCGAAACAAAACGCACGGGCGCACAGAGAGGATAGCCGTACAGCCTGCGCAAACTCAGCTTCAAGCCACTCACAGCTCCTAGCTGCTTCACTCTGACGGCAGCCAGTTCTTCTCACAATAGCTTCCAAGCCTGAAGCATACCAGACAGAAGGAGGACAGCTGAAGAAGGGCACTTGAGCATGGAAGTCATCATCAATCACTAGTCGCATGCATAGCCTGCGATGACATGCACTGCCAAAAAGAAGCTGGGGTCTGCGTGTGGCGACGGTACGAGAATATCCTGAATACAGATGGACTACAGAATCGGACCTTGATTTTGGGTAAACCACTACTGCCAGTAATGGAAATCTTTAAATAATTTTGCTTAGTCCTACATGTAAATACCGCATGAAAGGATATTCGCTACTTTGGAAACTCACAGGCTGCGATGAGCGGCCCAGCGGGGGTGCAACCAAGAACCCCCACCCATCCGCCCCAAAGTGCAAGCAAGGGCAAGGGTGGACAATTAAGCTGTTGGCCATAAATCCCATTCCCAGGATGAAGCCTGAACCAGAGACCCTCAACCCTGAATCGCCATACACACACCACCAAACGTGGAGGCCTTCTGTGCGGCGGTTGCCTTTGGCTTGGCTCGGGCGCCTCGTTGCACATGTGGGAGTCAAGCTTTGGGAGGGGTTTGGGTTTGGCGGAAGGGTTTCGGTTTAGGATTTAGCTTGGCCTTTAGGCTTGGCGTTTCTGATGTCAATCCTGAAGCCCAACTAGATGCTAAATACTACGAAGCCAGGCCCCATGCTCTTCATTCTAGCCCTTCCTGTCTGCCTCGTCCTCCGCGGGCCCTTGGGGCCCTTGTCACGGAGGGTAGCAGCAGAGCGCCAACCACCTGAATTGCTCCAGGGGTCAAAGTAGGGGTGCTAGGGCCCGGGCTCAATGTCTAGGGCTCAGGGTTTAAAGACAAAGGTTTAGATGTGAAGCTGTTCGTATCTGTTCAGGTTGCGTTTATGTTGGGGATTTGCGGAAGGGTTTCCAGCACCTGGACTTGAAGCATTACGAGTTGTAAGAACAACATTTGAGGCGAAGAGTACTGAGATTGCCAGTGAGCTGATTATTACAAGGTAACGACATGAGAGGTTACTAGCCGTCTGCATCTCAGTTCTAAGGTCCAAAGTCTGGCGCCTAACATGAGCCGTTGATTTTGGGGGCCCCTGTTTCTGCGATGTAGACAAGACTCTGCATCGACTACTATGACTACATCTACTTCATACCCTCCGGGGCCTGCATCATCCTCAATACTCCGAAGCCGTACGCCTTAGTGCCTTAGTGCTCACAGGTGCAAGCTTGGAAAGTTGGCCATGCCTGATCGGCCGTGCTTGGTGCAAAATCCTACATCGCATCTCTATGTCCACAAAACCGCAGTTGCAATGTTAACAGAAGGTCATGCGAATGTTGCCGACCAACAGTACAACTAGTCTTGCTGGAGTCTGGGCTGCTCACTGTCAGAGTCCATGACTGAAGGTCTTGGGTTGTCATTCGTACTTGCACTACTATAACCATAAGGGCTAAGGGCTATTGAGCATGCGTCTTGCCCTGAGCATTGTGATGTTTCCTGCTGGAAGCAACGCACCGGTCAGCATCGTCTTCCTACCGCCAAGATCCACACGTCATAACTATCATGACGACCACTTCTATGCCGGGAGCGTGCCCACGGCTGGAACCTGCATATTGACACAAAACTGGTCATTTCCTTCCTGATGAGTCAGAAGTCCTTCCAGGATAAGGTGTCCTGACATGTGGCGAAGACCGGAGAAAAAGCTGGTAGGGCTGTGCACCGTGCATCAAGCCAACTACGACTTTTTTAAATCCGACTCCGAGCGGCTCTTATGAGGCGCTATGATGAAACCATATCATCTCATCATACAACACCTACCGTAATCGTCCTGGAAGAGGCCCCTTGAAGACCAGACATACCCACGAACCCTACAAAATCCTCCCACAGCACCAAACCAAGGACTCTGCTGACTTGCTGGCCGCCGGCTCTTCGTGCGCAGGCTCTGGTGGAGCCGCATCAACGCCTCCAAAAATCTACATGAAATCAGTGTAGAGCTCAGAGGTTTGAGGAGCTTGAGGGTTAGGCCACAAGGTCTGGGATTATAGACCTTAATATCTATAGTTATTTTTTTATGCATTTACACTTCCTATACAGTAAATGTAGCATTTCAAATCGATTTGGTATGACATGATCTCAAACCATACATGTCATTAATGAGTTCTTAGAATAGCAACTCATTCGATGTTCATGTGTATTTCGATCTATGAATGAGGCCTGCGGCTTCAGGTGCAAGGTTTTATGGTGGAGGTTTCGTTGAAACTGTCAATACTTGCAGTATCTCGGTGCCAAGTGTTACTAAAGCTGCCATAACTAGTAGCGTGAAGTGATGCTTCTCAAAATGATGGGTCAAATTTACAAAGCCTTGTAGAAACCTGGGTAATCACATTATTGATTATGATTGGTAGCATTTGACGAAACTGTCAGCTTGGCCATAAGCCATAAGCAACACCTTCGCTTGGCCGTTGCCAAGGCCTTGGTGCATTCTATGTTCTCTTCGCTGTCTGAGACCCGAACCTGTCAAGGGACAACAGCAATGGACAACTTCTGATCGAAGCCGGACACAGACTAGCCCGGCAGGAGAATGCCTTACTGCTGACAGTAATGCAGCGCTTTAGCAAGCCCTAAAAAGCTACAGTTACTTAATAATGATGTCTTCTGCTTACTTCTGCCACGCTCAATTGGTCCATTGCGGATAGTGGCAGCTACAAACTTAACCACTCGCGAGCCGGGGCCCCAGAGGATTGAATGAGTAAGGGACGCCTTTAGTAGCCCCTATAATTCATCCGCCCATTCTCTGCGCATTAAACACAGAGTACCAGTGGCGCAGCCTAAGCCCTGGTCGCCCTGGTCTCGCCTTGACTGACATCTGGACCGGCGGGTTCCTTGGCCGATAGAAGAAGCGTGCAATAAGGTAGACTCAGACCCCACTACAAGCAGGCTCCTCGAAATAAAGCTAGACATCACGGGGGCACAGTGGAGCTTCTGTGGGTTCAAAGCCGGGGTGCGTTACGGCGTTTGAAACTTGCAGAGATGAAGGATTGAACGAATCGAATTCACCCAAAAAAAGCAAGCGCCCTTGACTAACAAGTCGTGTGAGCCCCATACACAGACTGCTACCACCCCCCAAAACGAAACAACAAAACCTATAGACCCCTCATCAGGGCAGCCAGGCTGACTCAGGAGTCCCCTAACATCTCCACAAACGCCAAGTCCTAACCTGCCCAGCTCCCCGCTTCTGAATCGGAAATCCTGCGCATCCGATCCCAAACGCCAAATGTTCTGAACCCTTTTTTTCTAACAATCAATCCTATTACACATCACTGCATGCCTGAACTCCTAGACTTCCTGCAAAAACACTTTCCAACCTTCACCGATAAACCATGAAAAATATACTGACCCCCAGCCCAAGCCCATCCCTTCTCCCTGAAACCTCACACACCGTACCCTGCACCTTCACAAACCTGTCTACCCCCACACCCATAAACGCATAAGCCCTTTGCACGACCCCCCTGGGACCCGGCAGACATGCCCACAGATGGCTCCGGAGACGCCGGCTCATCTGATAAGTACGGGGGTTCTCAGTGATATGAAAGGGTTGTTCAAAAGCTTTATAGTTGAGATGCCTGAATTTAGGCAGTGATTGGCAGTGCTGGCTTTAAGGTCTGGGTCAGCAAAGAGATTGTATGCTGGCTTGTTCCTTATAAGGATGCAAGGAGCATGTGGGGCCAGAGTAGAACAAATGTGCACAAGGATTTGATTGGAAGTTCGAGGGCGGACTAGGTGAAAAGTGGGCCCATCATTTTCTGGTAGCATATACGACTTGCATGAAGATTGCTGAAGGTTGTAGGACATGGGCTCGCATAGTCGAAAGTTCCGCGTCTTCAAGAGAGGTTTGGACGTTGCCTTCTCGCCAGTGCTCTGCATGTTTCATGCTGGTAGGAGCATTGCACATGCACCGGACAAAAAATATCATGCCACTGTAACCTTGGCCACTGTGCCACATCGTGACGTGCACCCATGCACACACTATGAACACATTTTGAACCCACCATCCTGGTCTCGCTGGCGAATCTAATGTATCGACCAGTGGTGCAGGCCGTTCAGAGGTTAGGCGCGGAGTAGGCGAGCATTTCATTTGTATAACCAGCTCATCTGGATATTAACGCAAGGCTTTTTAGGGGGAAAAGCGATACCGGAGCAAATGAGAGCTGTGAGGATTAGGGGAGCATCTTCTGCAGGCGCTACCAGGGTGAAAAAAGGACTTCTTGCTTAAACCATTCTTGGCAGGATGCAAGGTTGAGGACTCAAGGCTAGGCCCTAGGATTCTAGCTTACTAAAAATGTTGTGGACGCAATGCTCCAAAACAGCAGCACAGCTGCCGACGGCTTACGCAAAAAGGGGTACTGTTGGGAATCCATTGGGTGATCACCCGTAGAATCAATGCAGCTTGTGACTCCCGCTTGACGGCTCAGACTAGAGCCCAGGGATGATGAAGGGATTTCTACAGCTCCCAAATGACAAGATCTTGAGATCTTTGTTTCGGGGCAGCCAAAGCAGCACCAAGAAGTTGTCCTCATGAGCTTTTCTGCGCAGGTTTGCTGCGTCAATCACTAGGCTTTAGGCCCCAAAGTGCCACCTATACCTTCTAGGAAATGCAGTTCTGCATACCATGTTGCTCCTCACCTTCCCGATGCAGCTCGTGCGTGATTTTCATGTTCTCCAACCCTGGAGCCCAACTCTAAACCTGAAATCCCCCAAACCAAAACCCTAGCTACTCCACCCAAGCCCTAACCCAAACACTAATTAAGTGCAAAGTCCAAAATCCTTGGGCTAAACCTGCAACCCTGCTCTTTGTCGCCTGCGCTCTCGGCTCTTTGGCAGCTCGCCGGATCCACGCCCCAGTCCCTAAGTCTAGCCTCAAGATTGTAATAGTGTGTGGTTTGGGGTCCAGGGTTCAAGTGGACGCGAGACTATTGTATTGAAGCTTTAGAGCTTAGGCTCTAGGGCTGTTTGTTGGAGTTCTCCAAGACTCTGCAGTACAAAGATCATTTTCGCCCTGATACCCATGCCCAGCTTGCCAAACCGTCCCTGGCACGGCCCACCAAAGCCCGAAAAGAATGCAGGGCCTGAAATGCCAAATTTGAAGTATCACCCAAATGGCTTCATGCCCCAAAACTGCCCTAACTTTCAGGACCCCACCTATAAGAATGCCTCTCTGCCTGAAAGATTATGCAGAAAAGAAATCCTGAAAATGAGATGTGCCCTTGCACCCCAAACCTCTGTCTAAGCCTCGTCCTGAGCCTGCGCCCTGCCCAAACTCTGAACCCTCAAGCCTACACTCTACACTTGTTACCATCACATATCGGCTGATTGGAATTCTGTACTCGAAGCTCTTCCCAAATTTGAGGTTCACAGGTAGCGCTAGGCGAAAGTACCCTCACTGAGGTTATGGACATGCTAGTCCTGCTTATCACTGCTTAGAACATTACAGCTATGCATGTTCAAGAGTCCACAAAACAAGGGTAAGGTAGAAGCCTTTACAGATTGCGGAAGTGGTGATGATGAGGTAGCTGCCTTGCGGGAGACGCTCCTGCTCTAAAAGGGTCCTGGCAACTGCCAAGCAATGCCCATTTCATGTTGGAGTTTGGCCGAATACATGTTCTGAAACGTGGAGACCAAGATAGAGGCCCACATGATGGTAAAGCAACCGCATGACTTATAACTCAACCAAAGATTGAATGACTGTATGGACTGATACAGCTAAAGGTACCTTGGAGTAACTGGAAAGTCTGGGTTGCCGGGCATCCACCTTCGTTGCTATAGCCTGCATTGGACTGGGCGAGCTGCTCAGAGCTGATGGAGCTGTAGGACTTTCAGGTTAGGGTGAGCTTTGAAGCATGCTGTTTGAGAGTTGGCGACTGGAAAGTTCAAACAGCACGAAGCTCCAACATTGCTGAGCTTTCAGTTTTCTCTCGCAAAAAGTCTTGGCTGCCAAGTACCTGGGTTTCTACTACCTTGTTTGATCAAAGCTACGTGAAAAGATGGGTAGATTGTGATTACATGATTATAGGGGAACCGACAGGGTTCAGGATTTCAGCATAGATTATCAAGGGCCTGTTTTTCGAGATGCGTGAGGAAATACCCGGGCATTTGAGGGGATGCCGCACTCATTGTTTTTTACCTCTCATAGAATATGACAATGTTTATATACGGATAAAACCCGAACGCTGTGGAGATTTTAAAGTTAGTTGTCAGAATTTTCAGTCTGAGGCTGTAAACCGTCCTCAGGTCATTGAGGATACCTTGTTCTATGAAGTCGCCTTATCGGTAAGCAGGGCTTAGTGAAGGGTGGACATAACCCCAGTACACATAATGAACCATACCATGAAATCGAACATTGCCTCGAAGCTCCAGTCACCTTTCTTTCGAGAGGTGTTGGCCTCCGCAAATGCCGTGGCCTGCTTCAGGTGCAAACGCTGGTATAGGGTTGTATACGGGCCATTTAGGATTATTAAGAGGATTATGATGGAAACGGACAGGGAAACCACTACAGTATAATAGCATGGCCCAAGATGCGGGAGAGATTTGGTCCTTTCGGAGATCCTTATTTTCTGATAATGCCTAAGATTGCTACACATCCTTGCACCAGCTCTACTTATGAGGCCTCAGGTCTAAGAAAACAATGTCGGATTTTTAGCTTCAACAATTGGACAGGACCTTGGCTGTAAGAGTTCAGAATGGTTAGGATGCCTCTCACCTCGAAACTTGAAAGAAAAGCTTGCGTTCGGTTAACTGTTTGCACACCAACAGCATGTTCTGTGAGGGACTAATCCGTAGAGTGTTGGAGCAAGTCTGCGCGAAAGAATGACAAAGCGATGGTTTTGCTTGAGCAACAAAGACATGATGGATCTTAAAAGCATTGCCAAAGAAACTCCAAAGCGTGAAACGTTCAGCGGGGTTTTTTCCGGAGGAAAATTCATATAAAATACTTTTGGGAAGGCAAAAGCCATCCACAGAAGCCCAGTAAGTCAATTAAGAAGTTTGGGTCCAACAGTCACCTTTCTGATATCTCAGAGAGGATGCTCCCTTCATGCACACAAACCTGGAGCCCTGAACTCTAAAATCCTGCGCCCCAACATCTGGGGCCTCTGGAATGCTGAGCTCTGACAGAATGTCAGACCGAGCTCTCATGAGCGGGTCATCCTGAAAGGATGTTTGAATTTAGAGTTTAGAGGGTTTTAGGCTTAGGGCCTAGAACTCAGCGCTGAAGGTTCAGGCCTCAGAGTCTGTGATGTTAGGATTAAGGGGTTGACTGCAGCGAGAGCTTGAGGAGAAAACGCCGTAGATGTGTCATAGAGGGATTTGGCAGATATTTTTGTATTTCTCAGGGATTCTGCAGGGAGCTGAAGGATCCTGCCGATGTCTGCAAATGATAGATATATCTATCAGTCTGAAAGTTTCGCGATTCTCGGGCATTTGCAGGAGGATAAGGCTGAGTAAGTGATGTCGAAGCTTCTGAAGGGATCGTACGAGACTTCGTGGGCAAAGGTTTGCCAGAGCGCATGTTCACAAATACTTCCTAGGTGCTAGGTTATATTGGCCACAACGGTGGTACTTTATCGAACATAGCCCAACAATACTGGATGCAGAAAGAGTTCTGGCATTGATGGTGGTAGAGTACGGTGGCGGTAGCGGTGGCTGACAACTGACGCATCACTCACGCGTGTTCATAAGGACCTGAAGCGGCGCGCAGATGAATTACAAACGCTTTCCCAACCATCAACCACCTGGGGCCTAGCGTTGAATTTCCCATTGTAAGACACATGTAGCATCTTTGATTGAGAGGTGAAGGACCCACGATGTTTTTCAGTCTTTGGCTTTTCACACTTTGTCCTGCGCGCAAATACATCGGCACCTTGCGACCTTGGGCCCTCAGCATACTGCTAAGGCACTGATACTTTACGGCCCCTATTTAGTCACGGTGCGCATCAGTCAGGTTGCCAATGTAAAGGTTCTTAAAAAACAGAACTTGGCAACCCACGCTTGTGGCACTTGTGAGAAGTTCGAGGCCTCTCCACATCCCTTCAGAACATCAACCCTGCAGGACTTCGCTAAGCTCGAAGCCGTAAAGGAAACCTTGGAGCACGGGCCCTATCATCCAATAACGAGAAGAAACTACGTGCTGAAAGACAGACTGCAATAGTAATAGCTTTCACAATCCCATGCACCCACGACCAACCACCCAACCACCAAGATAACTTTGCCCCACAATCCTTCAAGCTACCTGACGAGGCACGCTGAAACAGAGAGCACTTGAACTGCTACACCCTACACTCCAAAACCGTGCACCCAAAAGCCTACGTAAACCCTAAAGCATGCATCCGAGACTCCAATCCAACCGACGTCCTCGTCCCCAGAGCCCAACAGCCCAACAGAGGCTGTGGCTCTACCCTCAAAACCAAGGTCCACGCTGTCCGTGTGGAAGTCGACAGGAAGCGCTTTGCCGCCCGGAGAGCCTTCAAGGTTTAGGGCATATGGGGGAAGGATTCAGGGATTATGTAGGGTTAGCTTGGGGTATAAAGCTACTTCGGATTGTTGGTTTAGCTTGGGAGGTAGCAGCTGAGGTGCGCGAGCTGAGGCTTGTAGCGGCAGGCTGATTTCAGGGGTTTAGGGATGAGATGGTTGAGGTTTTCTTGAAGGCTTATCAACATCGCAGGTGCCTCAAGGTAGATTGTTTTGTGAGGCATGGTCACCCTACATGATCCGTGTCTGCGAAAAGCCTTTAGCCGGCAATTCTCCATCATGTCGCTCTGCGGCTTCCATCGAAATTTGCCAGTCTAGGATCTAAAGCCCACTTCATGGCGCAGCTTGCCAAACCTTGAAGGTCTCGGATGAGACCATGCGACGGCAAACGGACAGTTTCATGAGAAATTCGTTTTGTTGTAGCCTACGCCCTGAATCACCCTAAGCCAATACCGCCCTCCCAAAAAGATCCAGGCCCTCTCCTTTCTCCCTGAACTCTTTTACAAGCCTTGAAAACTGAATGGTGTGTATGCAGGCATTACATGGCTCTCTTAAAGACACAAGAACCCTGTTCAGAATATCGCATAGGTTGTCAGTGTTATCAGTCTTCCTATGATTACACATTTATTGGTACATTCATTGGGATGATCGCGACTAATTCTACAGATATTAGCATGGCAGCTAAGCAGAAGGCAAAGGGTTGGAACTTTATGCCTGGGGATTTTGCGAGCAGCCTCCGGAAGCCGATAGCAGTGGGCTCTACCAGGGGCTCGCAAAATCTATTCTGCTTCATGCTGCCCATCAATTGGTAGATTGTCTTGAACGTGAAGCTTGAAGGCTTGTTCAGAACATCTTGAGCTGCAAGTCCTGCACTCTAAACTTTGAACTTCACTGTATACTTCGCTCCTTTGTGTACGAATCTGCAACGGCATGACAGCCCCAAAACCCAATCCACAACCTCCAACTCTGAATTTTTTTGAGAGCCAGCAAAACCACTGCATTGCCACTCCATACTGCAGAGCCACACCCTGCAGTACAAGGAGCAAATGAACGGCGATGCTCCCCAAATGCGGCATTCACGTTGCTAAAGGGCGTGCCCGCTTACAGCAGGCCCCCAGAAAATTAGCAAAAGACTTACGCAACAAGGCTCCCATCGTCCTGATGGCTCTGGGGATTGATTTAAGGGGATGGTCTGGAGTCCTCGATATTTATAAGGAGGATCAGGTGGCAATGCTCTGAAACTCTTTAAGCGGTTGCCGAAACAAACTCAAGGCATTCTCTCAGCAACAGTGAGCGCAACATCACGCTCAATCTGAAACCCACGAAAACTA